ACAAAAACATTCTCTACATGACTGAAGTGAATTACGTCCCATCTGAGATTCACAGCTGATGTATTTCCATGCTTTAATGCTGTGGACGGGTCACTTTCATCAGCATTGATCTGTCTGAAAAACACTCATAGTAGCAAGAAAGAGAGACGATTAGATGCCAGCAGCTTTAATGTTCTTCTAGAATCAGAGAGCAGCACAGATCCTGAAAACGCACTGCCAGAGCTGATAACACATGGCTGTTTGATGAGAAATACTGTTTACACGTCCACAGCATCATACGTGCATGACAAATAGTAAACATACATTTATACTGAAAAAATACAGAACATATGCAGTTCATAGGGGACATATTGTATTAGCCCTACAGCATGAAATCAGAATCAGAATCGTGAGATAGCTATAATCTCGGAATTGTGAAAATAAAGTTAGAATTTCGAAATATAAACTCAAATTTACCTTTTTTTTATTATTTTATTCCATGGCTTCCATAGACTGCTACTTGAAAAATGCCACCAGATAGGCTCCGCCCACAAAAAAAGTCATTATATTATTACCAAATATTAGATTCAGTCTGTTTATCAACTTGTTTTTCTTGAATTAGCACAGGCTTTGTGTTTCATTTTGGAGCTGATTGATCGTAGGCCTCACTGATCTGAGTTTAAACCTTTACTGTAATAGATAAGTATTAAATTATAAGCATAAAAATATTATATTTTAATAAACGTAATGAGAAAACTTTTTTTTTTCTTTTCAAATTACAGTAATGTTAACTGGGGAATAAATCTGTTTAAATGTCATGAGAATAATCTTATAATGCAAATAATGCAAATAATAATAATACTGTACATCTTCCAAAATCTACTTGATTATTTGTAAAAACATTAATAAAAAATTTATATATATATATATATATCAGAAAGGATTTAAAGAAACAAAGTAACAATAAATAAACAATAAAAATACAGTAACAGTAAATCAACATAATAAAGATTTTTTAATAATTTAAGATTTTTCATAATAAAGACTTTTGGTTATGAAAACCTGAAACTTTTATTTGTCATTCTGCACCTTAAAAACAATTAAGCATTTTTTTTCTTTAAAAATTACTATCGCTAGTGCATCCTATGTAGTTAGGTTAATGTCACGTAGTAATATTGTAATTTTAACGAACTAATTTTGGACCAGGAAGCACAATTTAGATTAGCAGATAACACATTGTCTTAGTTTGAGCTGCTGTGCTGTTCTTACTGGAACATAACATCATTTTAACTCCTGTGAGCTCCTCGCAGCTCTTTTCATGTGCAGCTAATGGAATTGAAGATAACATGTATATTTAGAGGTTAAAGCATGTATTCTTTTACACACAGTCTTGAGTTCTGAAACACATTCAGTCTCTTATCTTCATCTCGGCAGCCTGAATATAAGTTTGCATGCAAGCCAGAGACAATCCGCTAGGGATTTGACAACAAAGATCCACAGTGAAAGACACTGAAGATATTATTATGTCAAGTATATCTACACAAGCCTCCAGTGACCTCTGCATCTGTGCGGATAAGCAAGACGAAGGACACAAAGGCTTTTGTAGGTGCGTGATTTCTCTGCCATCTGTACAATACAGATCAACTGAACATGAATGAAAACACATGGACGATCCACCAGAGACCAACGGTTCTCCTCATAATAAAAAAAAAAAAGCAACTGTAATATTAATATTCTACTCTATTTTTTTTCCATCAAGCAACAACAAGGTGTTTGGGATCTTGCGTATGTGGGCTATTACAGGAGCGATAAGAGAGCCTGGTGAAATGAGGGTCATGATGACGTGAAGTATGTTGGGAGAGCCCTGAGCGCAGGAGAGCGTAGTGAAGCGTGATGATCGCAGCATATATAGGTCAGCTCCACTCATACGGAGAGCTTTTGAAGTTATCATACGCTCACTCTGGCACGCTCTGCATTTCCCATTAGCAGCCATCATCATGCAGCTTTCAGAAAAGACAAAGTATTTTCATTAGTTCAGGGGCCGCTCTGGCTTTGTTTTTCAGATTTAGTGTGACAGAAAAAAAAAAACATTTAAAAGAATGTAGAGTCGTGCAGTTAACATTAATGATTAATGATAGTGTCTGCAATTTTCTATCTCCTTCTATATATAAATATTAGTGCTGTCAAATGATTAATCGCAATTAATCGCATCCAAAATAAAGGTTTTTGTTTACATTATATATGTATGTGTACTGTGTATATTTATTATGTATATATATATAAAGACACACACATACAG